TGGCAAAACATTTTTATTATAGCTAATAATTCCATACTTGTAGAATTTGGTGTCATCACAGGAATAAGACTTCCTGAGGTCTTTCTGTCCCAAAGGAGTACTTCCTGCTCAGTCTTCCCTCTACTTTTCTATATTTATACTGCTCAAAATGCCATATACTTTTAATGTAAAAGTAAATCAACACAAAAGCTTTTCTAGGACTTCTGTTATTATTATTTTTTAAGAGATAGGGACTCACTTTGTTGCCCAGGCTGGAGTGCAGTGTTGGTTGCAATCATAGCTCACTGCTGTCTCAGATTCCAGGGTTCATGGGATTCTCCTGCCTTAGCCTTCTCAGTAGCTGGGACTACAAGTGTGCAGCACCATGCTCAACTAATTTTTTTTTTTTTTTTTTGGCAGAGACTGAATCTTGCCCTGTTGCCCAGGCTGGTCTCAAACTCCTGGGCTCAAATGATCCTCCCACCTCGGCCTTTCAAAGAGCTGGAATTACAGGAGTGAGCCACTGTGCCTGGCCCTAGGACTTCTAATAAATTCAAGTCCTTCTACTAGGCAACATGAAGAATATAAAGAAATATAAGCCATCCACTCAAAACACGTGTGATCTGGTTGAGAGGTAGGATGTATTTTGTACATATATAAAGATAGGAACTGTGTCTCTCATTCATTCATTAGGTAACACCTAAATAGCATCAAATAGTTTGCCATCCAGGGTACTTTTCTCTCTTCTTCCCAGAGCCTTGTAGTTAAATAGGTGGGTACTCAATAAATGTCTGATTGCCTAAAACAGTTGTATACACTGTTTTACATCCATATTGATGTCTCTGATCTTTACTGCTTTACCTTAACCGGACTGAGGATTTTTTTCTTGTCAAATTCCCATTTTGTAGGTGTCACACTGAGAAAGTTGGGTGATTCAGTTAGTGGTGCAGACTCCTTATCTAACTAGAAATAGAATCTCTACCTGCATGTTTAAAAGCCCTTTAGTCAGCTATTAGCCATCATTATCTCTGCCATTACAGGATGGGTAGCCGCGCCTGGAACCTGAGCATCTAGGACGCTTGTGTGAGTAATAATCAAGTAAAAACAGGGACTATGGTATATTAGAACTGGTCAGAGAAGTGTGAAAATTTTCCTTCCTTTGCATTGTCAATTCTTCTGTTCTTTCTTTCCTATTTGACATGTTGGAGAGTAGGGGTGAGAACTAAAAACTCAGGAGAGCAACACTGAAGCCAAGGGCTTTGCATGCGACAGCCTCATTGGGAACTCAAAAGTGAAGGAAGTGGCCTTCAAGTGTCAAGCGATTTCTCTGGCCCATTCTGGCCCTACAGTGCTCACCACTTCCAGAAACTTAGAAAAACCGTATAGAGTAATGAAGCACTTAACAACGTTCATCCTTAAAGTAAGGGAGGAAGCAAAAGAAATACTCAAGACCTTCTATAAATAGAATTTACTAAAATATCAGAGTTGCCTCTGTTTTTATTCTCTTCCTTTTATCTTCAGTGCAATAATTAGGAAAAACTCAATAATAACTGCAGTAGATTCTCATTCATTTCTAGTGACAACTACTACTGGACTACTGGTTGAGTATTTCTTCTGTCTTTTTTTCTTTTTGGCCGACTGTGAGCACGGACAGGTTGAGTGTTTCTAACCTGAAAATCTGAAACATAAAATGCTTCAAAATTTCAAACTTTCTGAGCACCGATAATGACAGCACAAGTGGAAAATTCCACAGCTGACTTCATGTGACAGGTCATTGTCAACATGCAGGCGCACAACAGTTTATTCAACATCCCTAAGGGAAAAATGAAATTACCTTCAGACTACGTACATTATATTTCACTTACAAAACATAAATAAATTTTGTGTTTAGACTTGAGTCCAATCCCCAAGATATCTCATTCAAGGCTATCTCATATGCAGACATTCCAAAATCTGGAAAAAAAAAAAAATCTAAAATCTCAAACATTCTGGTCCTAAGCATTTTGGATAAGGGATACTCAACCTGCAATTGATTTAATGTGGTAATATTTTCTGCAAAAGTTGTTAAATGCAAGGACTGGGACAACTCAGCAAGCCAGGTAAAGGAGAATTGATGACCTCAAGAATGATGACAGACTATTATGAGAATAAACCCTTCTTATCTTGTGTGTAAATATACATGCAAGTAATCCATTACTTATACTTATAGTGATATTCGGGTGTTGCTGACATGCTTACCAGGAAGATTAAAGTGAGTGAACTCTGACTTTCTCTTGCTCTGGTTTTTCTTTCTTTCTTTTTTTTAAAGATGGAATTTCATTCTTGTTGCCCAGGCTGGAGTGTACAGTGCGATCTCACCTCGCTGCAACCTCTGCCTCCCGGGTTCAAGTGATTCTCCTATCTCAGCCTCCTTAGTAGCTGGGATTACAGGCACCCACCACTATGCCTGGCTAATTTTTGGTAGTTTTAGTAGAGATGGGGTTTCATCATGTTGGCCAGGCTGGTCTTGAACTCCTGACCTCAGGTGATCCATCCGCCTCAGCCTCCCAAAGTACTGGGATTACAGGCATGAGCCACCGCGCCTGGCCTTTTCATATTTTAGTAATACTTATTACCTTCTAACATACTATATTATTACTTCTATTGTTTATTGTTTAATGTCTATTCTCTATATCCTACTGGTTGGATGCAAGCTCTGCAAAGGCAGGGATCTTTGTTTTGTTCACTGATGTGTCCCAAGAGCCTAGAACAATGCCTAACACATTAAGTGTCTAGTAAATGTTTGCAGAATAAATGAAGAGTCCCAGACAAGCCAGTGGAATCTTTGTCAGTTTCCTTACTATCTCCCAGAGGGGTCATAATGGCAACATCCCAGGATCTGTGGAAGGAACTTCATGTGCCTATGATAGCCCTGTGCACTAGCAGGTCACTGAGTATCCTACTGAGTATCCTATAAAAACTCAAATTACTGTGCTTGTGTGTTAATAGCAGAAGCTCATCTGAGAGTGAGAAACTCAAGGAAATGAGTCAAGATTTGATGGCTGGGGGACTTTGTGATGGAGCATGTGGCACTGACCATCCTTATAATGGGTAAGGACAAATATGAGAAAAACACAATACTTTTTCTGGAAAGGTTCCAGCATTGAGATGCACTTGGACCAGAGTTAAGGTTCCTTCCAACTTGTAATATTCTAGGTCCCAATTCCCTTCCTCAAATATCCTTTATCTCAATAAGCCTTCAGTTTTTACCCCTCCCTTGCTATCTGTCTGGGTCCTTGGCATCCTCATTTAGCTAACAGGCATAGGATTTCTGGCCCATCCCCATAACAGGATGTACATACAACTATACAGAAACAGGAGGGATGCATGCCCTCGGTACACACCTGACCACACAGAACAGGTTAATGTTGGCATTGTACACTGAGAAGTCAATAAAAGTTGCCCTGGTTCCTCGGTCCAGCCAGACGTTTTTCTTGAGGCTGGCAACTTGTGCAGCTGTTTCCTCTCTTGTTCTTGACAAATCCAGGTAGTAGCCAGCTCCACTATAAGTTGCAATAATTCCCCAGTGGCTACTACCATTCAAGTCTTTTTCACTTGTGTAGATCCAACTGATTAAAAACAAAACCAAAAAACAGACAGTTAAAAATCAGTGGAACACCTGTAGCATTATAAGGACAGTTGGTTCCTTGTAAAATAAAGTATGTTTTAAGGCCCATCAAGCCGGGTACTGTGCCTGACCTGGCACTTCATAAGTGCTTTCTTAGTTAATTCTCATACTGTTATTAGCCTCATTTTAACAATGAGGGTTAGTGAGGTCAATGTAGTCCCAAAGCTTTTGAGGGTAGACCAAAAGCTTAGGAACCAACACCAGGGCTGTCTGTCCCTAGAGCCTCTGCTCAGTTTATATGGCTGCTTTCTCTGGGTAACTGTGCTCACGGACTTGATATCCCCAGAGAAAATTACAGCCAAAAGAGGAACAAGTTCATCCAGTGGCACTGTCAGCAACTGTACTCCACACAGCATTTGGGAATTTTATTCACAAATATTCAGAGGATCTCTTAGAAAACAGATAGTTATTTGGCACTAATAGGAATATAAAGGGCCTTTCCCTCCCAAATTTATAACAAGTAGGGAGATAAGAGTTGTAATTAAACAAGTAAAATACAAGGTGGATAATAATAAGAAGCAAAAGAATAAAGAAATTAGGCTGGCTGATCAGAGGAAAGCTATCCTTATTTGAAGAGATGGCAATGGAGGGATGGATTAGAAAAGGCTTTGGGAAGAAGCTGTGTTGGACCTGAGCTGTGAAGGGTGAGTAGGATCTGGACTTAGACAGGTGAATGGTGATATGATTTGGCTGTAGTCCCCACCCAAATCTCATCTTGAATTGTAACTCTCACAATTCCCACGTTTTGTAAGAGAAACCTGGTAGGAGGTAATTGAATCATGGGGGCACATTTTTCCCATGCTAATCTCATGATAGTGAGTAAGTCTCATGAGATCTGATGGTTTTATAAGGGGGAGTTTCCCTGCACAAGCTCTCTCTCTTTGCCTGCTGCCATCCATGTAAGATGAGACTTGTTCCTCCTTGCCTTCTGCCATGATTATGAGGCCTCCTCAGCCATGTGGAACTATAAGTCCATTAAACCTCTTTCCTTGGTAAATTGCCCAGTCTCAGGTATGTCTTTATCAGCAGTGTGAGAACAGTTTAATACAAATGGGAAGGGCATTTGCAACTGTGAGCCATTGCTCAAGAGAAGACGTATAAGCAGCCCAGCAAGTAGTTCAGTTTGGCTCCTGTATGATAAAGAACGGTGGTCTGAAGTCAGTTTGTGAAGGGCAAACAAGAAGGAGTCCCTGAAGGGAAAGTTCTGAGAATGCCTCTATGCTGAGTCCTTCTAGTGAATCACTGAACCTGGGGGTGGTCTTAGGGATCCCTGACACAGCTCCATTAGCAACGTCTGCAATAACCAAGAGGTAATGAGGCCTGAACTCACTCAGTGAAGGTGGGAAGGGAAAGGAAGGAGTGACAGAGTGTCACCTCAGTGACTGCCAGCAGAACTCGGCAATTGATTTGGACGTTGGGGCAAGGAGGAAACATGGCTCAAAAATGACTCTGGAGTCTCTTTTAAGGAAATAGAAAGATGGCAGTGCTATTAAAAGGAAGGGTAGATCCATAAGAAAATGATGAGTTTGGTTTGGGGCATATTGAATCACAAGAGCTGTGGGACATCCAGGTGGAATAGACATGTGTCTTGTATCACTAGAATGCAAGCCCTGTGAAACAAGATGTTTGCTTCTGTTTCCTGCTGCTTTGTTTCTCTAGCATCAAGGGCACTGCTAGAAGAGGGGGTACTTCTAGCAATGGGAACATGCCTGGCACACTGTTAAAGAAATGATAAGTCATCAAATAAAGATGCCAGTGGAAGCCATCTGAATATCAAGGGAAAGAGAGTCAAGAAAGAAAAGATGGACACATGAATATAGAACCTGGGAATAAGAGACAAGAAGTGAGAGAAAGGGGTTTCAGAGTTAGAAGAACCCAAAGTGTTGAGTCCTTCATGGAAGTCAAAAGAATGAGCAGTCAACACTGCCACTTTCAGCAGAGAGGATGAAGGGGACAAAGACTGAAATTTGTTCAGTGGATTTGCCAACTAGAGGTCCCTGGTAGCTTCCAGGTGAGATGTCAAAAGCAAGAACCTAAGTTTTAAGAGGTGAATCAAGGGTAAGGAAATGTAAGTGGAAAATGAATCCTATTCTTCCATGAAGTTTGGAGTTGAAAGGAAGAAGAAACGGGAGTGACTTAAGAATGTAAAAGAATAAAGGGATGGTTTCGATACGACAGGAAAGGTCCCCTTTGGCAATCTACCGTGGAGTAGAAATCACTCATTCATATGTGCATCCAACACACATTTATTAGGGTCCTTACATGCGAAGCATTGTTCAAGCTTTTGAGAATATAGCAGTCAACAAAATAAAATTAGGAAGCTTGAATACTGCTGGGGAGCTGAGGGCATCAAGAAGCCACCCTAACAACATAATTAATGTGGAAGATAAATTAATATGGAAGAGGGTTAGTAGAAGAAACATGGGTTTTGGGGTCAGGCTGCTTAAATCCTGGCTATATTCCATTTGCTAGCTGTGACTCTGGGCAAGTGAGCCCCAGTTTTTTAATCTATAAAATGGAGATGATACCTATTTTAGAGTTGTTTTGTGAAGGCAGATGAGATAATGTGTTAAATTACTTCTTAAATAATGTCTGGCACAGAGTAGTGGCTGTATAGATTTATCTTATTAATGATGTGAGATAAATAAAATATTAGAAAGGGTACCATAGATGATGGCATGCTTATGCTTTGTGGGAACTACAAAAAGGCACATTAGAAAACAAAATAAAGCTGGGCATGGTGGCATGTTTCCATAGTCCCAGCTACCTGGGAGGCTGAGGCTGGAGGATTTCTTGTGTCCAGGAGTTTGAGGCCAGCCTGGGCAACATCATGAGACTCCATCTCTAATAAATTTTTTTTAAAAGCAAAATCACTCTCATAACTTGGATGTTAATGTCCTTTGAGATTTTTTAGTCCTTTTCTTCTCAAGCTCTGCATTTTTACTAGATTTGTTTCTTTTTTTTTGAGACAGAGTCTTGCTCTGTTGCCCAGGCTAGAGTGCTGTGGTAAGATCTCAGATCACTGCAAATTCTACCTCTTAGGTTCAAGTGATTCTCCTGCCTCAGCCTTCTGAGTAGCTGGGACTATAGACACATGCCACCACACCCAGCTAATTTTTGTATTTTTAGTAGAGACGGGGTTCCACCATGTTGGCCAGGCTGGTCTTGAACTCCTGACCTCAGGTGATCCGCCCGCCTTGGCCTTCCAACGTGCTGGGATTACAGGCGTGAGAAACTGTGCCCAACCTGAATTTTTAGTAGATTTGTGTCTTATGGGTCCTGGTATAAAATACAGTATACAATGGATGGTACATGAAGAGTATACTAACTGTAAAGGTGATGGCCCATTGTATAGTAACAAATGTGGATTCTGGGCAACTCGGTTTCCAAGAAACAAACCTAGATGAACTGACATAATTAGCTGAGCAAAGCTTACAAGATCACTCTGACCAGTGATGTACCCAGGGACAGCAATTCCAAATGGCCCACCTTGAAACAGCCTGGGAGGTCTTTTTGTTTCTTTATAATAACTACAATACTTCTAAAATAGTAAGTGTCCTCTGTTAATACACAAGATGTTTAAGTATGGGTACTAAAGTGCGCAAAAAGCCCCTGTAAACATGCACATGCACAAATATATACTTAAAATCTCAAACATTTGAGAAAAATGGGCTTTAAACCCAATAGAAACCTGTCGCATAAGCTTACATATTAAATAAGTGCATTCTGAACAAAAAACTGTTTGTAAGATCCATAAAAAAAGAGTTCCTGTACCAGAAAACATGTTAAATAACCTAGTGGATGACGTTACTGGACCTATAAAACCAGGGGCCAGGGCATCTTAAATGAAATTTTCAAAGGCTCAGACAATTAACTTTTTATGGGTCATATGGTCAATGATTTACCTTTCGAAAAATATGCATGTAGAAACTGAAAGGGGGTTAAAAAGTAGAGAAAGCTTGAGAAGTCAACGGTCAAGTTGGCCAAGGTTTAAATATAAGCACTGGAGACTCATTGGACTTCTTTTCACCTTGGTGAAGGTGTCAGGGAATGAATGAATGAATCAATGATGGTGGCAGGTCAAAGAATGAATGAGTGAATATCACCAAGTGGCAATGACTCAGACACTTACGCGGTTCCATTTCGGGGCCCGAAGGGAGCCCTATCTTCACTACTGACAGAGTAGACATCATAGCACTCTTTAATTTCATCTCTCAAGTCCTGGGGGATAGAGCAGGATCCGTTTCTGACTCGGAGTTGCCGTATGCGTGGTACCCCTAACAGCAGGTTCTCGTAGAAGATGAAACTCCGGTTGTCAGCTTCAGTCTGGTTGCTGGGCTGCATCTTCCAGTACAGCCCATCCAATAAGGAGCCTTCTGTGAACTAAAAGCGAAAGAAGCATCTTTGAAAAAGTTCCAAGCTCAGCAGCTGTCTTGCTCCTGTCTGCAACGTTTGCATAACCAAGCATCTGGCAACTCTATGAAAACAGTAGAGTGATAAGAATGAATTTTGTTGTCAGAGAGATTGGGATAGCATGTTGCCCCATCACTTGTTAGCTATGAGGCCTTGAGCTGGGTCCTCTGAACCAAGGTTCCTGAATCTGGAATACCTATCTTTTGTGTAGTCGCTACACCTGGCACAGGGTGGGTACTTAATACGTGGCAGCTCTGATTTTTGTTCTTGGACAAAGGTGGGGTCATGATTAACTCCACTTTCCCTTATTAAAGTAGTATCCCACATAATCATAGTTCTAAACTTGTTTAGAGAACGGCTATAGTTTTGATTACCAGCCTGGCATCTGGTGGTCCTTTTATCTGTCTGGACTGTTTTGCTGTATGGTAAACTCTCAATCCCTCCCTATTTCTCAGTGTGCTATCATTATCAGACGATCAACAGAAATAGACTGATTTGCCTTATTCAGGTGGCGAAAGATTCATATATACAAGTGTGGTTTTGGATGCCAAGTACTTTTATATATGAATAGGTTCCTGTGATCCAGTTGTCTCTATCCTTAAAATCAACAGCTCTGATCCCAAGGTTTTGTAAGAATTTTAGAAACTATCTCCCCAGGGAGTAATAATCATTTCCTTTTCAATTTCCCTTCCAATTTTCTTAGATTCCAAGCCCCTTTATCTCTTGGATCAGCTATAATATTTTTCCTGTGATATCACTCATTGCTTACTATGTTATTATGTTAGAATTTGTGACAATTTGGGAAGAGGCTGGGTTAGGCTGAACTTCACAACAGCAGACTTTTGCTTGTTTTGGGGTTTTTATTGGATTTTTTTTTTTTTTTTTTGAGACTCTGTTGCCCAGGCTGGAATGCGATAGCATGGTCATAGCTCACTGCAGCCTCGACCTCAAGCAATTGCTCATGCGATTCTCCCACCTCAGCCTCCTGAGTAGCTGGGACTACAGGTGTGTGCCACCACGCCCTGATAATTCTTTAATTTTTTTGTTGAGACAAAGTCTTACTATGTTGTGCCCAAGCTGGTTTCGAAATCCTGGGCTCAAGCAATCCTCTTGCCTTGGTCTCCCAAAGTGTTGGGATTACAGACGTGAGCCACCAAGCCCCACCAACAGCAAACCTTTCAAAGAATGTGCTTACTTTGTATCAAGCACTGCTCTAAGAGCTGGGGATACACGCCATCACCAACAAAGAGACAAAACATGAAAGGCGAAGCAAGGCAGAAGAACCACACTGCCCTCACTGGCCTTACATTCTAGAAGATTCTCAACAAATATTCATTGAATCTTGAATCATGGAATGAATTATAAACTAGGACAAAGAACTAGCTGTCAGTCTAGAAAAAAATCAATCTTTCTTGTTCCCTAGGCATGTGACCATATGCATTTAAGCATCCTGAATCTCACTTTCCTCATTAACAAACTAGGGCATACTCTTAGTACTTACCTTATAAAGTTACTATAGAAATTAAATAAGGTAAGGTATAAAACACTCAGCACAGTGCAAGGCACAGGCGAAGTTCTCAATCAATGTTAGTTTATCCCCTTTGAGGATAAGGAACAGTAACTTCTAATAACTCACCATAACTTACATCTCACACTGATGAAGCCAAATGAACAATGTTCTGTGATAAAGAGGTACTTTCAAAGTTATTTGCAAATACCTTCCAGAAGTCTTCCATTGAAGACAGAGTTTTAAAGTTAGTTTTCTCCGTTTTGGACACGGGGGTGTCTAGGAAGAGCTGTGACATCATCCGGGTATAGTAGTACACATTAGAACTCATCATGCCATAGGTCACTGGAACACAGAAAGATCCAAATGAACTCCCCAAGGGAACAGCCACACATTTATACACCAACAGCCTTCACACAGGGATTGTTCCTGGTAGATAAACATTTA